ACACTGATTAGGTTATAGATGCTAATCTGAAAATAAGCCAACCAACCATATTTTATATTTTAGTGTGATAGACGAACCTTATCAAGAGAAGGAATTTTCCTAAGCGATATCCAACTCAGAACACTCTTTTCCTCTCTGAAAGTTTATTAATAAACGAAGTAAATTGCCCAGAGTGTTCTAACGTTCATTCACTCCCAAAGAATGCTTTTCGCAGAACCAAAGAGCCAAACTTTTATTCCCATAAAATTCCTCAACTGGTGAGAAGGAGCAAATCAGTTTTAAAACTAAAAATCTTAAGAACAGAAATCAATACAGGCCTTTTAAGTTGCCCCTAGAGAGAGTTAACATCTGGACAGCAGCAGTTACACAGATGCTGCCACAAAGAAGAGGGAGTCAAGGTATTCTCTAAGGCACCTGAAGGCAGGACGAGAAGCAACGGATGGAAACTGATCAAGGAGAGAAGTAACTTAGAACTAAGGAGAAACTTCCTGACAGTTAGAACAATTAACCAGTGGAACAACCTCCCTCCAGAAGCGGTGAATGCTCCAACACTGGAAGTTTTTAAGAAGAGACTGGACAGCCATTTGTCTGAAATGGTGTAGGGTTCCTGCCTGAGCAGGGGGTTGGACTCGATGACCTCCAAGGTCCCTTCCAACTTTATTTTTTATTATTATTATTACTATTATTACTATTATTACTATTATTACTATTATTACTATTATTATTATTATTATTATTATTATTATTATTATTATTATTATTATTATTATTATTAAACTTTTCTACATAACAAAGAGACGTGAGCCCTCCATTTTGAACAACAACTGTGTTTTGGAAATTACTTCCTCTATACCTATGAACTAGTATAGCTCCGTTTTATGCATATTGGCATTACCTTTTGTACTGATAATTTTTAGGGTTTTTTTTGGAGGGAAGAATGGGTACTAGCAGCACAACCTGATTTATTTTTATTTATTTTTGAAGTTAAATTCCACTCATCCCCAGTAGCCTGAGGCAAAATTACAGATACTTAACAATAATTCAAATTCAATCTAACAAAATCATAATAAAAGACACTAGGAGAAAAACTCCAAAGGACTATGTGAATAAGCCACTTTCCCAGTTTTGTATATAGAGATAATAATGAAAGAAACAAAGAAAAATTAAATCATTTTTGTATATATGAGTCCTATGTCCAGTAACAAAATTACCATACATCCCTGATCACAACAGTGGCAAACCATGGGTAAATCCTGGCATCATCAGAGGTGAAAATCACAAATTAAAAATACTGCACATCATAAAGGCTTCTTTTCCTTTTAAAGATACTTCAGATTTCACAAAAGATTTATAGATGGGGTCGGGAACCAGTGGTTGGTACAGTGGCTAAGCTGGACTAGAACAGGAGAGACCTGGGTTCCGGTTAACCTCACTCTCCATTAGAAATTCACTGGGTGACTTTCAGCTTCTCTTCTTCTCTCTTAACCAATATAGTGTAGTGGTCATCATGCTGGACTAAGAATGGGAGATCCAGGATCTAGTCTCCCTTAGTCACAGAAGTTTCCCTGGAGACTTTGAGCCAATCCCAAGAGTCAATGTGGTACACTGTTACAGGTGGTGAACTACAGCAGGGGTCCCTAGCCTGTGGGCCACAGCCCACTAATGGGCTGTGAAAAGTTTGCAACCGGGCCGCAGAAATGGCTGGTGAGCACACGCACATTCATTCATTCATTTATTCATTTATTCGATTTGTATCCCGCCCTTCTCCCGAGGGACTCAGGGCGGCTCACAACATATTTAAAACAGAAACATGCCCACAATCCCCGCCAAATAAAACCAATTAAAACCCAAATATTTTAAAGTTGTGGTATTTAAAATTTTCTAAAAATGAACCCGATTTAAAATCCTCCCTAGGCCAGGCCCGCTTGCTGGA